TATACATACAATGTATGTACAAATATGTATACACATATACATATTATGTACCCACTCACATATTACAAAGCTTGTTTACTATTGGATGTGTATACCACATGCTATACAATATGTTAGAAAAAAAAATAATTCTACTTAAAATACTATTTGGAAATATGGAAACGTATCCAAACAATAAGGTTCTTACTCCAAATAAAATATGGGCTGATCACCTAAAAAATAAAAAATATATATACAATTTCAGATATTGCCTCTTCGGGAAAATGGTCAAGAAGCCTGGGATCGCTACAACGGATATGTTTCGTTAACGTCCGGGTATGGCAGGGGTGTAGGATGTGGAACATATTCTTTTTGTCTTGATGTGACAAGGGGGTTGTGGGATATTGATTTGGGGGCTGCCGACGGGTCTTTTTGCTGACCAAGTGCATGGACTTCACATAGATGTCCTGGTAGGACTCCCCCCCCACTCTTACTACTAATGGTTCTTAGAATATTCTAAGAAAACTACGAAATATACACAAGCGAGTTAAAAAAAAAAAAACTTTCAAAGCCTGTAAGAAATTGAATATCGAAATTGATAAGAAGCCAATCGAAAGTTTGAAAATTGTTTTGTATATAAATTACTCCTATCAAATCACGTGTTGTGATGTTACAGAATTGCTTGCACAAGAAATTATTCATGCAATCAGATAGCTTATTTGATGATGACCAGGAACATTAAAATCGTACATATAAGTGTTATTAAACTAATATTTATAAAAGCATTTTTAAATACAATTTGAATAGTATAAAATATAATTGGTGTGCGATTTTTTAAAATTTACAATTTTTGAAAAAAGAAAATGCATTTATTTACTCGTAAAAGTATAAGTACTTCGTCTTTCATTTTCAAATTTCTAAAGTATATGCAGCTTTGAAATGGATTATTAATTATGCAATCGTACATACCTACATATACTCGTACCAAAATATATTTCCACACATCACAAAGCTACCCCTGAAAGTTTACATTAGAAATCCCTAAAAGTATGCTACATATTTTTTGAAATCAATAAGTAAACAAAATAATCAGCTTTAATTTTTTTATATTTTATAGTATGCTACGTCATGTAAACAATGCTATACGAAATTAAAATGATTTTATTTCAATTTTAGACAAAATTATTTTAGACTGTAAATATGTATTTCGTATTTTTTGCTTTATAAATTTATTATATGCATATTTATGGATTATTTATATTTTCAAATCAAATACTAAAACAATAGTACATAAAATGTAATACCTATAGGTAGGTACATAAAACGTATAATTTTGTCTTATCAGAATAGCCAAGCCATATAGCTCTATATATTTTGTATCTATAAATAATAAAACTAATTTCAATTCTATATAAAATTAGTTCATAGCACATTTATATTTTAGTTAGATAATGCAAATTGTATAGAACTAAATGTACATACAAAGATATATGTACATAATATATGTACACTAATTTTAAATTGCGTATACAAATTTGATTTGTGACCAGCAACGCAAAAAACCGATATTCAAATAATGACAATGAAACTATAAAATAAATTTCATAGTATACAAAATATTTGTAAAATAGAATATAATATTGAAACGCTAATTATATTTATGTATGTTTGTAATTACATTGTACATATATACATATATATACATATATAATAGGGGAATCGTTATAAAGATTAGAATTATAAATTTTTGCCAAATGCACAAGTTACACATCTTTGTATTTATAACTGAAAGTTAAACAATTTTAAGATAAAAAGGTTTTATTATTTAATTTTGATTTTAAAAAAATTCAAAAAAATTTTCACAACAATAAAATAGTCTTATGTATCTTAGTTTTCTGTTTTGCTATTAAAGGGCCTTTCGCATTTCTAACTTAGAACTTAGATAGATAATTGAGACAACAGAAAGATGGAGCTGCAAAAACTATAAATTTGGCATTAGCATAAAAAAGTTTTTTTTAGTTGTGAAAGCTTTAAAATTGCTAACTTAGTTTTTAAAATTTCAAATATAAAACCAAAAAATTAGATTAAATTAGAAAACCACAACTTTAAAATGTGGCCCATGATACTGCTTGCAAGAGAGAAATATATTTGATTGCAAATATCAAAATTTTTTAAAAAAATTTTGAGAATTCAATCATAGATAATAGATTTAGGAACATAAAATTCCAAACAATCAATAAAGTTATTTGAAAATGTAATTTTTCTTGTAAGTAGGTAATGTAAGAAGCACGAGTGCCCCATACTCATATAGTACATATTTGTCCATAATCCATAAAAATTTGCTTTATTGGCTACTTTATACGATAAAGTGATGTATAAAATACCGAATATGAAATTATTTCAACTACTGGTTAAATATTTATGATGAATCACTGTAAAAATATCTTATTAATAATATGTACAAATATCTTAAGAATAGGTATAGGTATAGGTAATATAATACATACATAATTATACATATTTACAAGCGCGAAAGTACTTAATGAATGTAGAAGTATACAATGTTTAATTTTTGGTTTTTGTAATCAATTTTGTACGAAAAGCTAAATTATAAAATCTGTTTGAATACATGTAATAAATATAACAATTGTTTGTAATTTATATACTTTATATAATTATCAAACTACATTTTTGTATGAAGATATTAAGTATTAAATAAGCTATATAACATAAACATAAGTAAATATATAGATACAAATAACAATATTGTATTGATTTAAAGAAATATTTGTGATATGGTTCCAATAAAATTATAATAAATAAGCAAATTGTAAGTTAATAAAATTTTACGTAGAGAAATTTTTAACCCAAATTGACTTTTGGTAAGATTTTATAAAATAATGGTTTCAGAAATAATCCGATTTTCATTTATTTTCAAAAATTTTATACAATTATCATTCTGTAACCTCTTTCGTCAATATGTTTTATAATTTGTTAGTGATTAAGATTGAAAATTAATTTATAAATTGAGTTCAATATGCATAATAATTTCCGTGAGGACTTTAAGGCATGTATAACTCAATTTGAGATACAATCTAATAACCATCATGATAAGTTTGTCATTTTGGAATTAGGAGTTAGCAAGTTATTATTAAAATTATTATCTGATTATAAAGTTTGTATTTTATAATATCGAACTTTTGTAATTACCATTTTAAAATATAATATGCATTAGTTTGGAAGGATTTTTTATCATTACACCATTTTTTCTTACAAGGATTTTAATTTTAATATTAATTTTGCTTTACATTTTATTTGTTTCCATTTTTCTTATTAAATCCTTTGAATTCCATACATAATACATTATTGCAATATATTATGTGTTTCCTTATTTTTCGGTCGTTTCATTCAGTAATGACAAAAATAATAAAGAACAATAAAAAATTAGCCATTTTATTAACATTAATGTTTCCTATGCCGGACATAGTTGACCAAAAAGAAAATGCGATTGTGATACAAGGAAATAATAAAAGAAAACCAAAAAAAAAAGAAACATTCATCTGCCGTTTTATCTATTTTTTTTTTTTTGGTTTCCTTATTTGTGCGATATTCTTAAAACTTATTTTTTTTTTATATGTAACTGCTAATGAGTTTTTTAATTAAAATCTTTCAAATGTTCCTTTGATTTAATTTTTAAATTTTGTTTGGTTTCAAAAACAAAAATAAATAATAAAGACACTAAAAACATATTGTATTTTCTTTCGTATTTCGTGTTTTTGGTTCTTTTCTGCTTTAAACCCAACATTTTTCTAACTTTTACTATTTTAAAATTATTTCCGCTATTAAAATGCTGATATAATGATAATAATAATAGTTATAATAAATTTTTTCTATTTGTTATTTCTGATGGTACTGCATCATAAATAAAAAAAAATCTTTGAAAATTAAAGAGTTTCTGGTGACTGCCACTGATTGCTCTATCTTTACATATTCTAACTTCGGCATTTGTTAAATTATATGGCTGTAATTAATTCATATAATTAAGTTTGTTTTTTAAATATTCTGGCGATATCAACATACACTCAAATCATTTATTTCTTCAACTCTTTTAAAAACTTCTTGCCGTATTTTGATTTCGTCTTCAAAACCATTTTTATTTGGTTTGCGTTATTAAAATTGATCAAATCTTCTTCCAAATTCGGTCCCAATTGTCTTATTTGCTTCAGATAAATAAAGCAAAGCATCATCTGCGAATAATCTGATTTCGCAGGTTTACAAAATATTTTTTATATCTTTTGATAGCAAAAAAAACGTAGTGATCCCAACATTAAATTTTTCCTTTATTTTCCTATTTATTTAAATTATTTTATTAACGTTATTTTCGGCGCTGCAATCCTTAACTATTTCCTTTTAAAGCGTACTACAAATGTACAAATATATTCGAAATAATTACAGTTTATATTGGTAGTTTTTATGTATACAAACTATAATTTTTATAATGACGAGCCTGATTATCTTCAAAGCTTTTTATGACCTAAATAGTTAAACAGGGTATTTTTTTTTTGTAACAAATTACCTTTTTACTTTGATTATATTTAAAACTTATTTATTAAATTTAATGAAATTATAATGTTATTTTCTCAAATTTAAAATGACAATTTTGTAAAATTTCATATGCAATTCAAATGAAAAATCAATTTAATCACTATGCTACACTAAAATCATTAAATTTTAAAATTATCTTATCACACAAATACAAGTTAATGAAAGTAAAATAATATATTCAATTAAAAACATAATTTTGAAACAATTAACTGTTATTTAATAGCATTTTAATTTTAAAAAGTACATATTTTGCAATGTACGTTAAAAGAATATTTTGAGTCATTATTTATTCAGATTTATTTATCCAAAAAAGTTAATCCTTAACCATACACATTATTATTATTATATACTACACTACTATATTATATGTATATGCTAAGACAGTTATAAAAACAAATTTAAATTGAAAATAATCCTTTTATATTCGATTTATGTAATAAGTGTTAATTTATTATTCAAATTAACAAAGAATTTTTTTAAATCATATTAAAATCAAAAAAGGAATTCTAAATTTACTTCCTTGCAGGTGTTAATAGATTAACTGCAGTTAATGCATCTGGGAAAAGTAAATGATAATTTGTTAATGGAACATAAGCAGCAGTAATAACACGTCCAGCAAACTGAAAAAAGAAAAGAAATTATTAAAACTAAATAATTTTGTTTTGAAGTAATTGATTTACCCATCGACCATGTAAAGCATTAACTGCTAGCACGGCTGTTGTAATACTTGGACATTTAACATATACATTTCCTTGAGCCGATGTTTTATCAACAAAAATATGTAATACGCCACCATGCTTTGTACATTCGTCAATCACATCATCACGTATTTCACTATCCCAACTTGGATTAGTTTCAGTTTTGGGATCAAACATATTTGAAAGCATAAAACATTGTGTTGCTATTGCTGGTGCTGCTTGCTGTTGGGGTTGCGTTATAGGTTGCGGGGCCGTAGCTAGCAAAGCATTAGCAGCTGCTTGAGGTACTGCTAATCCAGCTCCTTCAGCCAATTTAAACATTAATTGTAAACGACCAGTTGCACCTAAATCTATACCACTACGGTCCATTTCATCCGTGTCTAATGATGTTGTGTTCATATCTAAACGTTCAGTAACATTTCCAACTTTCATAGGTCGACCAGCTAGCTCAAACCCATTTAACTGCTCCAAAGCTTTTTTTGCATCATCAGCATTGCGGTACTTAAGTTTATAATAGAATAAATTAAAAAAAAAATAATAAATATAATTATTTGTATTATATATATAAAATATTAATAAGAAACTTACTGTTATGAACCCATATCCTTTAGATTTTAAAGTTTCACTGTCTGTTACTAGTTGTATATTATCGATTTTACCGAATGGCTCAAAAATTCCTCTCAGCATATCTTCAGTTATATTGAAATGCAACGATCCAACAAATAATCGCATTGGACCGGTATGATTTTTAGGTGTGAATGTTGGTACGGAATTCGCAATTCTGTTTTTTTCTGCTTGTGTATGTTGCACTGATATTGGTATACCAAGTAATTTTTGACCAGATAACCCAAGAGCCAATGCAACAGATTCTGGGTCTTTAAACTCAATATAAGCTATTCCTTTAAATCTTCTTGTCTTGTTACATGTAATTAATCTAACATCTCGAACTTTTCCAACGCTAGAAAAAAATTCTTCCAAATCTCTAGCACGTATACGTTGTGAAAGTTGCATGCAAAATACAGTTCTGGCATCTCTTTCCTCTGGACTTAAATCTTCTGGCGGTGATCTGTCACCTAATCCATTCGGTGGGGTCCTACCCCTTCTGAAGGGCCGTGGAGATGGAGACCTTCTCCTGCAAGTTGATAAAATAAAATTTTCATTTTAGAGAAGGATTGATTTTTTGTATTAGAAGAATTGATTTTAATCAATATACCTTTTCTCCTTTGAACGTGATCGTCTTCGAGATCGACTGCGTTTTCTTTCTTTGGAACGATCTGTTGAGCGACTCTTACGCTTTTCCTTATCCTTTGATTTACTGCGGCGTCTCTCTTTTGATTTACTTCTTCGTTTTTCCTTTGATCGACTTCTACGTCTTTCTTTAGTTTTACTTCTTTTCTTACGATCACGTTCTCGCGATACACTACGTTTTTTTTCTCTTGATCGAGATCTTGAAACTCGTTTCTTGTCTCTTGATCTGCTTCGACGTTTCTCTCTCTCAGCGGATCGTCTTCTACTTTTTTCTGTGGATCTCGCTCTCCTATCCCGACTGCTTTTTGCCTTTTCTTCATACTTATCATGGCCTCTGGACCTTTCTATCGATCTATAAACAAAAATTTTAAAAAATAATTAATTACATAAACATACATAAATGCTACAATTGTGTTTGAAGTTTTTAATAACTTTAATTTATTTAATTACATACCTCGACCGATGTTTTCTTCCATTTTCAGTTAACTTTTTATCATGATGAGAATAGTGATGATCATCGTCATTCTGCACGGCACAAGTGTTATTTATAAGGCAGTAAAAAAATTTCAAAAGTGGCAGGAATAAAGCAAACCGAAAAATTAGTATAAAATCATAAAAAAAAAATATTTGTTTATATAAAAAATAAATTCTTTTAAAATTTTTAGTTATCATTACATTGTTTTTAGAGTAATAATGTTTTACTACGTATGATTTTACATTGCAAATTACATATCAAAGAGTATGAGTTGATAGGAAGCTTTCCCCTTCGATAACTTCCAGAGTTTGGTGTGGCACGCACATTAACGAATCTGAAATTTAGGGCAATTTTGAGAAATGCGGGTATAGATTATCCAACATGTAGGAACATTTCTTAAATTTTGTTTTATTTTTAAAAAATTTATGTTATTTTAATTTTTTGTTTTGAAACGGTGAAACTTTGAAAAAAAGAAAAACACGATTGTGTAGTGAAGAAACTTACCGAAAATTTAAAGAAATCAAAAATTAAAATTTAAATTATTTTTTTTTTTTAAATGAATTTAGCAATTTTTTACAAGTTGTTCTATTTTTAAGAAAACTAAGTTAGTAAAAAATCGCAAGAAAATTCTATTAGAATAAAAATATTTTTCTCCAAATAAACAACTTACATAATAATTTAATCAACATTTATGCTGTTTTTTATTTTAATACTAAATATCCCAACATATATCAAGGAGGTAGGTACCTACAAATATGTAAACACTATATTGAGCTTTTACTTTTACAAATAATTTAAATAATTTAAATAAACACGTCAATTTCATTTTCAACTTTAATTAATGTAATTTAATAAAAAGTGAACAATAAGATAAAAACACTTATTTAAATAATCATTTAAAAGGGAAACTAATAGAGGATTTGTAAAGTATTATTTTAACCTAACTTTACGAAACTAGTACCCACTTAAATTAAAATGTAATTTTAATAACAATAGGAAATTGAAAACTAAATATTACCCTTTTTATTACAAAAAATATTATATTATCAGTTATAACTATAGCAAACGCATAATTTTGTGTGAAAACAAAATTTTTAATATTAACATTTACTTATAAAAAAAATTTGCATAAAACAAAAAAAAAAAGAGGAAACTAAAATTTTTGCTTTCAATACGCCTAAGTCTAAGTATGATTTCCGGAAAATAGAATATTTTCGAGACCAGAATGTCCTTCAATATAACGGAAAATTCACGCGAAATGTAAAATTAAGTAACGACTGAATTTTAAAGGATGTATTTTAAGCTTTCTTCATTTTGTAGAATTGTTTTTGCCAATATGGATGTTAATAGATTTTCATATTAGTTGACCAACATCTAATAATTAGTAGATTTTATATTCTCAACAATATGTAGAAAAATCTGTAAATAGATAAATAACATTTCTCTTTTCTTTTTAACTTTAAACGTTTTATTGTAATGCCACGGCTTTAGTATTCATCATCAGTTATTACCTAAAAGAAAAATAAATTCAGCCAAAAGCTTTTTTTTAAATCTAAACACGACGTTCATTAAATCATATTTCAATTTTAGTAAAAAAAAAATAAAAGAAACAAAACTAAATATGCATATGCAATCAGCAATGTATGTTAACTAGGTAGAATATAAACGGTGACACAATGTTGTAAATTGTAAATTCAAGGAAGCTGTACCTGAAAATAAATTTTTTAACATAACTCAAAAAAGTTTCTGATTCCGTATCAACACATTTTTTGTCACATGCCTGTAAAGAAAATTTAAGTTGAGTAATGTTGACCCATTTTACAATAATCTGTTTTTATTTTTATTTCTTTTTCAGTGATAAGAGAAATTTTAACGCAAAAATGTTGCATTTAGTTCAGGTATTTGATTCTCCAACAAAATCATTTAGTAACTCAGTTGCCATTGAGATTAAAACATATAAGCTACCCAACTCTTTATCTTCCCTAATTTACAAAGCCATTTGAACGATACTTACCTCTAACCAACTTTTTTCATTTCTTATGAATACTTAGTACATACCTACAAGTATGTACCTATACAATATTCAAAATATTGAACTGTTATGTCAAACTGTTAGGTAATTTAATTTAACCGGGGAAAATTCAAATTTTATTTTTCGGAAGAAAAAAAATTAAACTTTCATGCAAATGTACCCTTTGTATAAAGATACACAGAATTCATTACATTTTACACGAATGCGACTGAGAATATTGAACTAAACAATTAAGGTCAATTCAGAATGCCTCAACAAAAATAATACAAATCAGTTTAGATTTTTTCTATCTTTTTTCAATTAATTTTCGTCCACTGCCGCATTATTTAAACGTTTATTTACCATAAGTAATGGCTAGGTTACTTTTTCTATGCCAACACATTGACCTTACCATACATGAACCTACAATTAATCATGTACGTAAATTTATTAATAATTTATAAACGCTTTATAAAATTTCCAATCTAAATATGGAAATACTTCATATTCTCGTATAATCTAAATAAAATTTACACTTTTACTCACGTTTTTATTATAAGGTGCCTCCAACATGGCTTCCACATCAAATTCATCAGCCATCATCCTTCTTTTTCTGTGCAAACTTCTGTAACTAAACCAAGAAAAACTTGTAGTCTTTTAACCACTTCTTTGTTTTCTAGCTTTTTCCAATAAATAATATGATTTTTATATCTTTTTCTAAATCACAAATCACAATATTTTTCACTTCTTTTTTGTCTGCTCAAAAATCAACATGGCTACGCCACTTCAAAAAATTTTTTTTATATAAAATAAAATTCAATAGCTTTCAATTTGACATTTTCCCATCAAACATAGTTAACGAATGTTATCTGGGTTATATTTTTTAATATATTCTTTTTGAAGAACGTATAAGTTTCATCCAAGCGGTGTGTGGAAGAAGCTTGTAAAAACAGGTAAAAATTATGTCTGATTGTAAATGAGAACCTCTCACAAAAATGCCATTTAAATCAAATGACACGGAGAATATTAAAATCATATATCCTGAAAGGTTATTTTTGTGGAAATTGTGACAACTGGTTGTCATAATTTTTAAGTTATTAGAATCTACTTGCCACTATACTACGTATCACTACTACTAACCGCTGCTTTGAGTAACTTAGAGTTTGTTAACCCCATTATTATTGCGATTCGTTAAATTAATATACATTTAGCAAATAAAGCGCTATGCTGGAAAATTAGTAAACTTCAAATATGGAATAAAAACGGAAAAATACGAATATCATTTCATGACAACTGAAAAGTCAAAAACTCGTAATTTAGTAGAAACAAAAAAAAATTAATAGGTCTTATAGCTTATAAATTTTATATACTTCACTTTTCTAGTAATTTAGTGCACAATATATTAAATCTCTAAATATGCCTTCTTTTACAGGTAATATTTTATGCACTATTCAGTAGAAATTAATTTATCTATTTGATTTTCAGTAAAAGTAAAATGGGGAAAGGAAATTTTCAATTCTATTGAAGTTAATAACGATGAAGAACCTTTAGTTTTCAAAGCCCAAGTAAGAAAAATCAATAACTGTTTTAAAGAAATAATTAAAATTGTTAACTCTTATTCAAAATTTTAGTTGTATGCTTTAACCGGGGTTCAACCAGAAAGACAAAAGGTTATGTGCAAAGGCTGTGTTCTTAAAGACGATGAATGGAATATGCAACTGAAAGATGTAATTTTAATTTATTAAATCAAATGAGTTTTCTAAGAACTAAACCAAAACCAAATTTAAGGGATTGACGATATTATTGCTAGGTACAAAAGAAGAAGTACCAAAAGAGCCGGTTGAGAAGACTTTGTTTGTAGAGGACATGAACGAGTCGGAATTAGCTACAGCTGTAAGAATTTATAGAAGTAAAGATTGTTAAAGTAGATTATTATTAAACTTTTTTACAGCTTGAACTGCCGGCTGGATTATCTAACTTAGGTAACACATGCTACATGAATGCTGTAGTTCAGTGTCTGAAATCGGTACCAGAATTATCGGACACATTGCAAAATTTTGATGATAATATTTCGTTAAATCTGTCTGCTCCATCAACTTCAATAACTGCAGCACTAAAATTATTATTTAGAGAGATGGATAAGGAAAAAACCGTAACCCCAATACTGTTTGTACAAACAATGCATTTAGCATTCCCTCAATTCGCCCAAACAGGTGAAAATGGAACATATAGGCAACAAGATGCTAGCGAATGTTGGTCTGAGCTACTTAAAATGCTACAGCAAAAATTACCTCCTAAGGATAGCACCGAAGCAAAAAAATATAAGTATGCGACTAAATAATAAAAATAATATTTTGAATCTGATTCCTATGCAATTAATTTTATTAGCTCTTTTATTGAACAATTTTTTGGAGGAAAATTTCAAGTAACAATGAAATGTGATGAAGCACCAGAAGAACCTGTCAAAGTTAGTGAAGAAACGTTTTTGCAACTTAATTGCTTTATTTCATCTGAAGTGAAATATATGCATAACGGTGTAAAATCGGTAATATAATTCTCTGTTGGAAACTATTACCTAACACTAAAGTGCTTGTAAATTTTTTTACAGAAACTAAAGGAAACATTAACTAAGAACTCTGAATCACTAGGGAGAGATGCTCTGTATACAAAATCTGTAAGGATAATATAATTACAAATAAAATAAATTTTAAAGATAAAAATATTTAATATAAAAATTTTATAGTCTTTAATAAACCGTTTACCAGCGTATTTAACAGTACAATTTGTTCGTTTTGAATACAAAGGAAAAGAAGGAATTAACGCTAAGATTTTGAAAGACATAAAATTTTCCCTTGACTTCGATGTGTTTGAAATGTGCACGCCAGCTTTACAAAAAAAATTGACCCCAATGCGTGAAAAGTTCAAGGTTTTTGATAAAAACAATTTCTAAAAAATGCAAAATATTTTATTAAAAAATTTTTCAGGAAGTTGAAGATAGAAAATTGTTTAATAAAGGAAATTCTTCAGTGAATAATGAGAAAAAAGTTGAAAGCTATGAAAACTACTGGTTTGATGACGATTTTGGAAGCAATAATTCAGGTTATTATACTTTGCAGGCTGTTTTAACTCACAAAGGACGTTCTAGTTCGTCGGGTCATTATGTTGCATGGGTAAAACAAAAAAGTGGCAGCTGGGTAAAGTTTGATGATGATATGGTTTCATCAGTAACGGAAGAAGAAATTTTACGGCTTTCTGGTGGAGGTGATTGGCATTGTGCTTATGTTTTATTATATGGGCCAAAACTTTTAGAAAAAACTGAGGAAAAGGCTGTATAACTTATGTAGCTGTTTGTAATTCTACACTACTGAGACACATAAAATTACACAAATATAAAATGCATTCGTTATATGTACATAAAAAATAAATTTTTGTGTAATAAAACTATTTGTAACAAAAGTTTAAAAAAATTTTAATTGTATGTAGGTATGTATGTAATTACAGTTTTTAACACTTAATCTAAGTATGATTTTACTTTGTGCTTTATGATTTCCTAAAACCAAAAATTGTCATACAATTTAACAATGACCCTTCTGGATTTTTACATAATTTAACAAATATCTCTGACGATATTTTAAAACTATTCACAACAATAGAACTTAGCAGAAAATTTTCCAAAGAAGAAAATGAATTGCGAAAACAAGCAAAATTATTTAACAAGGAATATTATCTTCCAATGTAATACTTATTGGAGCTTTCATACTTATTTTATGTATAGATCATAACCTTAACATGAAGAGGACAGCTGTTGGAAAAAGTGAAATCATAGATAATATATCTCTAGCGGGAAAATTTGTAATGATTATTGATCGCATTGGAAATATGGTACATTTTAAATCTAAATTATTAATATTCATTTCCAAATTATTCAACCGCTTTTTATTTAATGTACTTATCTAAAATAAAATATGTTCCATGAATTATTAAGAGCTATTGTTAACGCACTCAAAATTTGGCATTAACATTTGACAATTGTCAACAGTTTAAAATTTTGTTAAGTTTTAAAGCATGTGTAAGGTCAGTCTTACACTTCATTACAGGATATGAATAGAAATAATCAAATCAAATTATAATTGAATAATAATATTGCTCTTTAATTTTAAAATTGTATGAAATAGAAATATAAAAGAAAAAATTAAAAAAAATGGCTGAATCGGAAATCGATTTGTCTGGTGATGGAGGTGTCCTGAAAAAGATTCTAAAAGAAGGAGAAGGAAATGATACACCTTCTAATGGTTGTAATGTGTCTTTACATTATACTGGTAAATTGGTTGATGGAAAAGTATTTGATTCAAGTGTTGAAAGAAACGAACCATTTGAGTTCCAGTTGGGAAAAGGTAAGTGCATTCCTCTATTTTTGAACAATCTTAAATCTTATAATTGATAAACAGGAAGTGTAATCAAGGCATTCGACATGGGTGTTGCAACTATGAAGTTAAAAGAAAAATGTGTTCTTACATGTGCTCCCGAATATGGTAAAATCATATTTATAACTCTATGGAAATTTGGAATATTTAAAATTTTATTTCCCTTTAGCTTACGGTAAAGGTGGAAGCCCTCCAAGCATTCCTCCAAATGCAACTCTGATATTTGAGGTAAAATAAACAAATAGGTGCCTTCCTACATAAATTATTCAGTATTGATTTATATTTTTTTTAAGCTGGAAATGATGGGATGGAAAGGGGAAGATTTAAGTCCGGATAGTGATGGCAGTATTGAAAGAGTTATAATAACAAAAAGTGAACGTAGAAAAACACCAACTAATGGAGCTCATGTTAAAGGTAATATCAATTTTGAGTATAAAAGATATATAATGTAACATACCTATCTACCTATTCGATTTTGCTATATTTACGTATTTTTACAAAAAAAAATATTTAGTGAATTTGGTTGGTAAGTTTGATGGCAAAATATTTGATGAGCGGGAAGTTGAATTTGATGTTGGTGAGGCATCGGAGGAAAATATTATTGAAGGAATAGACATTGCAATTTTGAGTATGTCCCAGGGTGAAACATCAAAGTAATTTAAACAATGATTTTTATATATAATCAAACTAATAATTAACAATTTATACAATATAATAATCTTTAGGCTTCGAATAAAACCCAAATACGCTTTTAAAGATTTACCATCCAACTCGTTTTCAATTCCAACCGACGCAACTGTTGAATATACTGTTACTTTATTAGAATGTGAGAGAGCCGTCGAAGAATGGAAATTAAATGCAGAGGAAAGTTTAGTTCAGGCTAAAATATTCAAAGAAAAAGGTACTAAATATGTTAAGAAAGAAAACTATAAGCTCGCAATCAAAATGTATACAACAAGTAACAATTTTCTCTCGAATTGCGGTATGACGAATCTATAACATTTACAAAAAGATGGAATTAAAATATGTAAATTTTAAAATTTTAGACGTAGCGACAAACAACGAAGCAAAGCTAATAAAATGTATGGTTCATCTTAACATAGCTCTATGTCAACAGAAATTAAACGATTTTATAGAGGCCCAAAATGCCGTAAGTTTAAACAAGTTTGGTTAAATTTTTATTGAATTGTTAAAGAATTTTGATAATATTATTGATAACTATTCTAAACTCTTGTTTAATTAGTGTAATGTCGCATTAGAGCTCGATGACAAAAATGTGAAAGGATATTATAGAAGAGGACAATGTTATATATCGTTAAATGAATACGACAAAGCTTTGCAAGATTTTGAAAAGGTGAATTTCATATAAGGAAATTTTAGATTTATCATTTTAAAAGTTGTTTTTAAGGTTCAAAAACTTGATCCTAGTAATAAAGCTACGGTAGCTCAAATTGCATATTGCAAGCGAAAAAAGAATGAATTTTATCAAAAGGAAAAGAAAATATATGCTAATATGTTTGCTAAATTCGCTGCTTCAGATAGCCAGGTTATTATAAAGTTTCTTTTATCTTACACTATTGTAACTATAATTTTAATTTAATTTAAATTACATCTTTTTAGAAACAAAACTCTGAGAAAGAAGCTGAACCAGATATTTTATCATCCTGTGGTGAGTGGACTGGGCAAGAGGCTGATAAAGCATTTGAACAAGATGAAAATATAATAATGTTAAATAACGACAATTAAATTTTAATAAATCCACTTATTGCATTTCTCATTTTCATAGTTAACGTTTGATTTTGTTCTAAAATAAAAAAAAAATATGCACTTTGCTTCGAAAACTACATCAATGTACCTTAATTTCCAATTACATACTTAATTATTTAATCTTATTGAGTTTGGCAATAATTTTTCAAGATTAAAATGTATATATTATAAGTTTGTGCTATACTCAAATCTGATCACAATTCTTTTTTAAAAATTTTGCACATACAACATGCATAAGTAATAATTTAAATGTTATTAAGGAAACATTACAAAAACTTGAATGTTTTAAATATTGAAATTTTCTTTATTTTTATAATTTAATGTCACTATTTTAATTAGAGGATATTAATCAAAGAAATTAAAATAAAGTCAAGGAGATCAAATTAGCAGTGTCGTTTCTTTTCCGAAACATTGATTATAAAGTCCAAAGAAAACATTAAATTTTATCACTCAACTAAAAGCATATTTTATCGATTCTTATTTTTAATTTATATTTACAAAACAGCTCCAAATATAACAAATATTTTTTTAATAATACAAATTAAATTAATTTCACTTATATAGCTATATATATATATATATATACGTAGTGTGGGTTTTATAATAATATATTATATTCTAGAACATATCGCAGAAATTCAAAAATATATACATATATACAAATGTAAATATTTTTATAAATATTATTTTTATAATCACATCTTTTTAGATGTATTCTCGTGTAATCATTTTAACGCTCTTTTTAAACCAAAGAACGCTACAAGCCTGAATATTGCAAATTGTATTATAAGCATTAGGATATTGAAACCGTAACTGCTCTCATCTGTAACACCTAATGTACTTAAAAGCATCTTTGGATTTCTAAAACAAAAAGAATTTATTAGTACTTACTATATATTACAAAAAAGAAAAATAAAAATTAAAAAATTTTATTTACTTAAAATGACAATAAATTTCTTCATCTGGACATATCATATTACTTCGATTATCACCATATAATGTTAAAACAATACTTTCAAAGGCAAATCTTTGTGGAGATAAATATGAAATAGTTCTCATAAATATCGACATATGTGCGAAAAATATGAAAAATCCTGAATAAATTAACATAAAACAACAAAGCACAGCACCCAAGAATGTACCATTCTTTAAATAAAAAAAAAAAATATTTCATTAAAAATATTATAAATTAAATAATTTAGTTGTGAATATTTTGCAAAAAAAAAATTATATAAATATTTACAACTGGACCAGCAAATGTTCCAATCAGTATACCGAATCCATCTGCTGCAATAGTTGTCATTATATGAACTAATATAAATTTCCCATATCGGTCGATTTCATAAGGTTGATATGTTGAAAAATATATTATAGATCCGAATATCATTGAGTATATTATCTGGAATTGGTTAACAAAAAAAAAAAAAACTATAGTTTTTATTTTCTTATTATTAGTAACTAAAACTGCATTTGTACAAGAATACCTTAATATTTTTATGTATTAGGTAGGTATATATATATTATGTATATATGTATGTTAACATTTATTGAAGACAAGGTTTTCAACAAATGTTTCATTCCAGCTCAAATATCGAAATTGCTATACAATATATAAAATATGTAAAAATTTGTTAGCTGACTATTGTGGCATCAATTTTAGATACGAAATATTTATACATACATACATACATACATATGTATATTCTTAAATTTTTTTTAGTAATATTTAAAATTATATAATTATTTGTATAAATATTTACATGCATTGGGATTGAAGTAATTAGTGTAGCCATATAATATGTTCTAATATTATACCATTTATTAAATGTTTCTTTTCTGATTGTGGCAATTTCCATTGGAACTACATACATAAAAGAAAAACAAATTTTGAATTATTTTTAATTATAAACACATAAATATTATGTATGTACATATATTATTCTAATATTCAATAATTTTCTTACATCTTAAAACACCTGGCATTGAAGTTGTATACCATAAATATACTATTGTTACCAAAAAAAGTCCTGTATTTGAAATTGTTTTACTAGCATTAATACCTGAATCCCCATATAATAAACCCATTAAAATTCCACAACAAATATGTGCTATTAATCTTAAATGTGTAGCTGTCTAAAATTACAAAAAAAAACAATATGTAATTAATAAAATTTATTTTAAATTTAATTTTAAAAAATATTTGTAAATAGAATTACCCAATCCCTATAAAATTGAACATAACATCTTCCTAATAAAACCCATAGCCTAAAAAGTTCATCGGGTGGATAAATATGATTATTTTGATATGATTTAATTTTTTTTGTTCCATTATGATCACTTCTCTCCTTTATTTTACTATGTATACTATTCGATTCTAAATCATATCGTCTCCATTTTGTATCTTTTGCGGCCTCCACCATTGCTTTTGTATAATCGCCATATTCACCATTTGTTACCTCTAACACTAAAATGTTATTTAGAAAATAAATACAAAAATTGTTATTCAATTTTTCTATAACTTACAAATATCTGCTGGATTATGATATGCAGGACATTCAACACCTACTGACTGCAAATATGGTACTGTATTTTTTGGAGATCCTTGATAAACGCACATACCCTTATTAAGTACATAAATATGACCGAATAATTCATAAATGGAAGCGGACGGTTGATGTATAGTACAAACTAAAATAGGGGAAACATTATACAATATATTAAAACTACAAAATAAAAGAAAATAGAACTAGATAATAATTCTCTCTTGTACACAATTTACTATTTAATTAAGATTCTGAATTAAAAAGTTCTTAGAAATAGCTTTAAAAATTATAAAATAAATTATGTAATAATTACCTATTGTTCTATCTTCACTACATAAATCTTTTAAAAGTCTTATTAAATCCATTGAAGAGGAAGCATCTAAACCCCTTTAAAATTGAAAATATATAAAAATTGTATTATTAAATTTATAATTAAAATTATAAATAATTATTGCATTTGCATATCCAAGGTACATTACATCTGATATACAAAACGCAGTGATTATTTTTATCCTAAATTTATGCAATTAAATTAAGAAGTATATATGTACATAAATTTTGTTATTATGATGAGTAAAATTTTAGCTACATAGTTATATCTGGCTATATAATTATAACACGGTGGTGAGTAAAATTTTTTTAATTTCGGTTCGTTTGGGCACTAAATTAATTTTTTTTTTAAGTTTGCATATCGTCAAGGATTTCGGTAGTTTCAATCAGTTATGTAACACTATTGTGTATTGTAAAAACAGCTGATTTTTTTCTTAAAAATACAAATCAAAAATCGATATACTGATCTGCGCAGACAGACTGACAGACATCTCCCTAAAAATAATTTATTTATGCTATCATAAAGCAACGCATTCCGTCAAATTCCTCACATATTAACAGAATAACCTGTTAATATGTGAGGAACCTCACATATTATATAGAATGCGGTCGATAAAAACTTAATTGAATTCAAAAAATGTTTTAAGTTTAATAAAAAATAATTAATTGTTACTCTTTTAAAAAGTAATAAAATCATTCATTATAAATACGTGATTGATTGCTGTTATTTATTTTTTTTTTTGGAAAAAAATTTTCTAATTTTTGTAATACTTACGTTGTCGGTTCATCTAAAAATATAACACGTGGATTATCAACTAATTCTAATGCTATAGATAATCTCTTTTTTTGTCCCCCTGATAATTTTGCACATTTTGTATTTCTAGCGTTCGATAAATGCAATGATTTTAATATATCATCAATCTTAAATTAATAAAATAAATAAAATTAATGATAAAGAAATAAATATAAAGAAAAGTGTTTTGTTCTCTTACAAGTGTTTTTTTCTCTTCAAAAGGTAATGATTTATTTGAAATTTTTAATGTAGCCGCCAGCAGCATAACTTCTTCTACAGTAAACCATGGAAAGAATAAATCATCTTGTAATATATAACAGCATACTTTGCTATTTTTAAGTTCTGCACCAAAACTAATATCACCTGATATATCACCACGTCTACAAAATATTTACATATATGTATATTTCTTACTCATTTATCGAAAATCTTATTAATTTATTTTGAAATACATATATACTCACATAAATCCAGTTAATATATTCATTAAAGATGATTTTCCAGCTCCGGATGGACCCATAATAGCATTCAATTCACCAGATTTAAATTGTCCATAGACATTATTTAAAATTTTCTTTTTAGCTAAAATAAATTTTTAAAATTAAAAAAAAAAAATTAATTAATATTTTGAGTCAAAATGTAACGAAATGCTTAAAAAATATTGTAATTTGAACTAAATAAATTTTTTCATAGAATATGTAAAAGTCGATTGATTACTCTATTCAATAAGGAACACATACACACATCGCACATTTTCGAGAACAATGACACAAGTCAAAATGCAGAGTTGCAAACTTGCTTTTATTGTTACTGTAACAAAATAATACAGAAAATTTGTTCATATACTTGTAGAATAGTTCTATTTCAACCATTTTTAGCCTCCAATATTAATTTAAATTCGGCTATAAATAGTTGAAATTCCGGAAGTCGAAGGTATATTTTTGAGTTGTGTCGTTACTATTGTACGATATGTGTATATCATAATATTAGCATACTAAATGTTTTGTGTTCCAGATTACTCGTAGATAACTGGCTACATATCTTATATAAGAAATGAAAACAATAAAAAATTTTTAATGAAAGTTCACCAATAAATTAAAGAAAAGGTCATATAGAAAATTAAATTTAATTTCATTAAAGCAAGCATATAATATGCTGTACATAATAAGAGTATGTATAAATATTTTCATATATACAGACATAAAACATATACAAGGCATAAATAAATTGAAAAACTAGATTTGTCACATTAGACAAGTAAAATCAAAAAAAAAGAAAAAAACTGGAATTAGGTTTATAATAAAATTAAAAATTATAAGGGCTATAATACTCGACATATGGACAAAAACAAAATATTTAAAGGTTAAAAATAAGCATTTTGTTTTTTTTTTCTTACAAGTTTATTTTTACCAGTTTCTTTGAAAAGAAATATAAAGAAATTTATTTAAATAGCTTTGTATACCTTTTAGGATTTTTTAAATATGTTAGCAAACAACTAGTTTAATTAAATTATAAAGTTGAAATGTTGCCCTCCAAACATTATGTAAAAAGAACAACAAGAACGCATAGCATATAAATAAAAACAAAAATCTTATGTGATCAGCTTGTAACCAGCGGCAAAGTCTATTGTTTATAATTTAGCGAAAGTATTGCACAAGTAGCAATCTTTTAGTTAACGTACCTAGAAAAATTAATATTTGGTTCATAGTAGAAGTTCTCTTTTTGGACCGATTCAAATTCCTTAATTTAAAGCTTGTTAGTTACATTCGGTAGCAAACAGAAGTCAAATATTAATTTTAAAGAAATTGCGTCAATTAGCTACTTAGATATAATAAGAAATATAAAATCGGCCTTACAGTTTCTGTCAATATCTGACAAATCTCTTAAAAGTTGATCAATCTATGTTATATAGTCGAAAACAAATGTAAATTTTCATCAAAAATTAGTTCAACAGAACTTAAGATACACGCTTTCTCACACAGACCGGCAAACTGACATCTTTCTAAAATTACCTTATTTACGTTTTACTACTATGGAGAAGCGTGTTCACACCGTAAGTTTCATATGCATTCTAAATAAAATAAAATTTTTTACCCTCACATAACTTTCCTATTTGTATATGTAATGCGGTAAGAAAAAAAATTTTAAGTAATTTTCCAATTTAACATGAAAATATCACTAGTTAAAGCACTAAAATTAAGTGTTAAAAATTTAAAAGACTTGAAATAAATGGCACAACAAACCAATAACAAACATTAAGATAACTTTACATTATACAGTACATATGTAAGACAACTCGTCATATAATATGCAAGATGCAAAATTATGTCTTCCTTTATAACAGTTTAAGAACTTATTATTTAAACTAACATAATTTCTCACATATGATTAATTTCAAATTCAAAATTATTTTTTACAATTTTATTTATTTTATTATTAGCACCGCATCTTTAAAACTTTTATTTAAAATCGCCTATATAAATTATGCAATCCACGTTCATAAAGTTGACCGACCGACCTGTACAATATAGTAGTATCATTTGAATTTCCTCGCGTGTTAAAATTAATTTTAATATTCTAATAAAAAATGCATACGCATATAAGATTATAAAAAAATTATTAAAATTTAAATAACACGTATAGAATTAATTTTTTAATAGGTTTTTGTTTTTTCTGTTTAATGAGAATGCATATATTTTGTTGCATAGATACATGCATAGATTGTGTAATAATTCAAATAAATTGCTATTTTGTAAGTTTTATTAAGTTTTTTTTAACATTCCACCTGCAATATTAAGAAGAATTTAAAAAAAAAATTAAACTTGTATGCATAATATAAAAAATTCATTAACGAATTACATGTTAACCCAAAATATTATAGGAAGAATACAAGTTGCTTAAATCTATAAAGTGTCCCAGCAAATTATACATTATAATAAAATACAGGTACAATATATACAAGTGCAATATAAACACAACTGTAATAATGTCAACTGCCATATGAAATTATTAAACCCGACGTACGGTACAATGTAATTTTGCTGAGTTCTTATATACAAAAAGAAAAAATATCATGCTGCCAAAAGAAAGGAATGCAAAAACTTGCATGGCATAACAATACTGAACGCAGCTATAATACACTCCAGAATTAAAAATAAAATAAATGCAGCACTTAGAGAGGTCAAGCGGGATTAAATAGGGGGCATGGTTATATCGACCAATTTAACAGTCAGTCGAATAAAATTCATCACTATATATAATTTTTTTTGATTTCAAAAAAGCCTTCGATACGATCAAACGAGAGACAATCCTCGGTAAATAAAGACATTCCAAACAAAATAATCAACATAATAAAGCCATACTATATGAAGATGCGGAGCTTAGGATGTTTCATCAAGGCCAATTAATTAACTCAATTAGATTAGGGGCCGGAGTCTAGAAAAGATGTCCTATCTCTCTCCAATACTGTTTAATGTATCAGACCTTCACGAATAGACTAGAAAGCCTGAAATATGTAAACGAAATATACCCTTTTTTGCTCATACACGCAAAGATAAGCAAGGCATACTGCACGATTTGAAGCAAAATTTCCTTAGAGTTGGCCTGCGAACAAACACGAGTATTACAAAAAATATGTGAAATAACTATATCCTACATTATAGAAAATAAAAGGTGTCACTGCATTCCGTCACTTTGATAGTACAATTACTACGGATGAGGACAATGCCATTTGACAAACGACACAAAACGAATATTCAACAACTACGTAAAGTCGGTTCTCTTATTTGGAAATGAGACCTGATTAATAAAGAAAAACTATAAAAACAAAATGTAAATCTTCATTAAGAAATACCTGTGGCTTATATGCAGAATATTCTGGTCAAGAATAATTAGAAACTCAAACTCAAAGCTCTGGAAGTTAATAGCTGGCAGGATCTCATAGAGATCTAAATAAAGAAAGGAAAATGGAAATTGATCGATCATACTCTCAGTAAGCCATATATTTATAAAAAACTTCACGAGAATGGAATCCTCAAGGTAAGCGGAAAGTGAGCATAGGGAAAAGTGGCGCAGATCAATTAAAAAATAAATGTAAAAGAAAACCCACATGTAAATGACAAAAAATTTTTCATTGCCTTAATATTCAAAATTTTATTAATCTTATATCTATTGAATACTGTTATTCTTGTACAGCCTACACTATTTTACCTCTATTTGGTTATGTTGAAGTTTTTTTTCATTGTATAAATTATGTAGTACTTATATTTCATATACAATGATTTAATAAGAGACATTCAAATTATTTTCAAAGCTTTATAAAAATAAAAAATAAAAATTGTGATCCCATATGGTACATATGTATGTATGTATACTCGTTTGCATGCTAATTCGTAATCGTTATAATGAAAATTAAGTAAAGAAATAACACTTATTTTCAGTGCAATAACCTACCATACTTGTCGTCAAAACATAAAATGACCCTGAATTTTAAACGTGTTATTTTTAATGTTAATTTTTTTTTTTTTTGTTTTCTTTGTCAGAAAATTTTATATTAAGTACTCTATACTGAAATTCATATACATACATGAATGTATGTATATAAGTATATGCCATAAAAGTAGAAGTTAAAAGCCTTTTGAAAAGTTTAAGAGGCATGTATGTTTATATATATTTATGTATGTATATGTAAAAACATTTTCATACATTTTTTTCTCAATTAATGTTAATTTTTTATTTTAAGTACATACATCAATTTTATTTATTATTCATTCATAATCAATTATTAACATTCCTTTATTGTGATTCTGTTTAGTATGAGATTCTGCCATTTGTTTGTAATTACGTAGAGTATCCAAGAATGTCTTTAAAATAAAATTTATTCCATATTAGAATTGAATTAATTCTATATAAATAACGAATAAATAAGAATGGGGAAATCATTTTTTTAACCTTCCTTCTTCTATTTATAAATTATATTATTGCGAAATAATTAAATTTAATACTAATTTTTAATAGAAATTATTTTCAACAGAAAATAAAAAAATACTTTTAGCACTTTTCTAAAAAAAATTTTTGAAAAAAAAAAAATGCTTATTAGTTTCAGTCTTTCTGTCCGTTCATTCGTCTGTGAACTCATTTACAAAACTTCTACACACCTTTTAATGTAGACAGTTGAAATTTTATATGCAAATAGTCGTTTACAAGAAACTTATTTCAGTAGAAGAAAATTTCTACTCCCTCCCCCCCCCCCCCCCCCCCCTAATAATTGTAGCCCCTTAAAATACAATTTTTTGATTATTCTTTGTAACGAAAATAAAAATATTTTTTTTATTCTGCAAGCTCAAAAAATGGCTATTGAAATTACTGCTTATCGGAAAACCCAGTGCTTATTGTTATCGCTTTTCTTCTTGACCGTAAGACCGTAAATTGAAATTTTTTGTTGCTTTTTGTTGTAAGACCGTAATTTATACATTTTTTAAATTTTAGCAGCTTTTAGATATTACTATATGATTTGTTTTTATGGTAAGAAATAAATTTTTTGTCACCTCCATTCACTCTCAAGTTATCATCGCTCGGAATTT